TTTTGGTCACTGTCTTAATTATTATGGATTATTTACAAGTTTAACCTGTGTTATTGTACTTTTCTTCGATTTAGTCCTTGCTTTTTTTTAACATTTAGTAATTAATTTTGTTCTTGTATCCACGTGATCTTTGTTTTATTATTTGTTCATTATTATATTACATATCATATAACTTATTATATTGTATATAACTACATACTAATTCTTCATGCACTAATGTACTTAAATTGGGTTTGCCGAATATATATACGTGTGCTATATATATGTCATTGTTTAATTAATTCCATGTTGTATGCTTTTGATACATTTCGGTTGTTTATATATATGTCACTGCCATTATAAATTACTTGTATATATAGGTTCAATTGCTATGGTAATAAATTTATATATTATATTTTTATGTATATTAAAATATGTATATAGATGTTTAGTTTTTAATGTTTTATATTTATTGTTCATGTCCTATAAATATTTTTATTTTAAAGAAAGTTATTTTTACACATTTATTTTTATCATAAACTTATTTTATTAGAAAATTTATATTTTACTGAAAATGTCTCAAACGAAGGGCGATCCGTGGGAAAACTTCCAAACACCTGGAATGCAATTCCTTAAGACGCACAAATGAAACACATATCGTTAATTTCTAAATTAATAAATATAAATATGATTTTTTTATATTCGATATTTCATTTATCCTACACATGACATCTATTAATGCTGCATTCATAAATCATGTATTTATTTTCTCATTTTCTAAAATCATTAAAGACAATGTTGTCTTGCGTCGTGGGCTAACGAAATTACATCCAACATAATTAGATTTCAATTTTCGTTAATCCACGTAGTAAGAGACATCATTTTTTAAACAAAGCAGAGTGAATTAAATATTTTATCTAGTTAAATATTAAAAAAATAGATTCACTCATTCTTCAAAAATCATAGAAATAAAAGGACCGTACTTTAAATTTTAAATTCAAATTTGTAAATTTATTATTTATACAACATATAATTGAGGGTACAATTTTGAACGATGTAGGGGTACTCACCTTTCCTCACGCTTAGTGGACTCTCGGATTCTTATAAATGAATTTTTAGTTATACGCAGACGAATTTTGTCTTTTTAAATGATTTTTCTTAAAATTGTTTTAAAAAACATTTTTAGGTATTCGACCTACTAACCCAAAGGTCGATGAATACTCCAAATTAAATTTGAATCAAAATTCAAAATTTTTAAAATAAAGTTATAATTATTTTAAAATTAAATTAATGTTAAAGAAAAAAATAGTTATGACACTCTTTACAAGGAGTGTGCATATATTCTACTATTTTATTGACACTAAATGGAATATCGGGTTGCGTACGACAAACATACAAGAGAGCCTAAATAATTCTATAATATTCCTTTGCACTAAAACTCATTTTTTTGTGAAAAAAAAAACACGCAACGGATCAACAGATCAAAGACACCTTTTTTTAATACATCTATTAACTTTAACTCTTAGAAATATACTCGGATCACACGACTTTTTAACGAAAACTTTATACTAAAACAATCCATCACTTGTAATGCCCAAAATTTAGTTCGGAAATTATGATTTTTAGAGTTTGGTGCTATTGTTTGGAGTTTATGGGCAAGACGAAATAGTTTTTTTTATGAAGATTTCGCTGCTGGAGAAAGTGTTTTGCTGAGAAGTGATCGGTTAGTACATGAAATGGTGACTTCACGATTATTTTCGGGTCATGGAGTGGTACAACATGTTACTAGGATCAGCCTAACGACAAGTGGAAAGCACCTACTGCGGGGTGGTTTAAATTGAATTTTGATGGATCGAGGCACATCAGATTAGGGACATGTGGGGGGGGGGGAATTTTTGATAATGAAGATAACTAGATTATGGGCTACGCTAAATTCATCGATTCATACTCTGTATTATATGCTGAGTTATGAGAGATCTTGGTGGGGCTTAATTTGGCTTGGGACTTGTAGCTTAGAGCAATTATTGCTGAAACAAATGTACCGAAGCACTTGCAGTATTGAAGGAGGAAGGTGGTCGATGGGGTGCTTCTTCCCTAATGCCACATACCTCAAACTTGATAAAAAAATAATTGGAGGATCACTTTGAATCATATATCTCGAAGAAGCAACATCGTTGTTGATGAATTGATTAAGATGTCACGATCGGCTGATTTTGGTGTCAAAAGGTTCCAGCAACCACCGCTGAAAATTGTTACGGTTTACAACGAAGAGTTTACTACCTGCAGACAGTGTACTGTGTAGTTTAGGATAGTTATTGCTTTTCTTTCCAAAAAGAAAAAAAGTAAAGAAAAGAAAAGAAAATTGGGTTTATATAGTTTATTAAGCCCGAATGTTTGGGTCTGAAAGAAAAGGCCTAACATTATTTCACCCGAATCAAGGAGGAAACCCTAGAAAAATGACTATAAAACCTATGTATCAACAGCAAGAGCCACTCATTGTTTTTGCGGAGGAAGAGAGACGGGTACGAAAAGATGCAGATCTTCGTGAAAACCCTTACCGGCAAGACCATCACCCTCGAGGTCGAGAGCAGCGACACCATTGACAATGTCAAAGCCAAGATCCAAGACAAAGAAGGTCATTATTCCTCTTTTGTTTTGTTCCGTCCAAGTCCCATTTCTCTTTTCCTTAGGTTTATTTAAATTGATTTGATTCTCTGAACTAAACAAGGAATCCCGCCGGACCAACAACGTCTCATCTTCGCCGGAAAACAGCTCGAAGACGGACGTACCTTGGCCGACTACAATATCCAGAAAGGTTAATCTTTTGGGTTTTTCTTCTTCCATTTGAGCGGCATTTTTTTGCTTCTCAGTTGATTAACATACTATGGGTTTTGCTTTTTTTTTTCGATGCAGAATCAACGCTTCATCTTGTTCTGAGGTTGAGGGGTGGAATTATTGAGCCTTCATTGATGGCTTTGGCTCGCAAATACAACCAAGACAAGATGATTTGCCGCAAGTAAAGCTCTTTTTCCTTTTTTTTTTGTCGACATGTCTAGGTTTTTGCAAATGGGACTTAACTTAACCTCTACTTCTTTACTTGGAATGGGATAGAGGCCATACCAGGTCCCTATAATGATAACCATTTTTCTACTTTGTCAGCTGATCTACTTCTACTGGCAGCTGATTTTCATAAATGGCACAATTTAAAAAATGCTAAAAATTTAACCCATTTTTTAGTATATCGTAGTAGTGTAAAGTATGAACGGGACTGCAAGTTGAACCCTCTTTTGAACTAACCACTGAAAATGAGGGCATCTTAGTTCCCAAAATTCAATTTTCCATTCTCAACTTTGTCAACTGCTCTAAACTTCTTTTATCAGTTGATTTTCTAGTGTGGTACATTATAATTGATGCTCTGTTTCTTGTTTATATGTCTTGAGAAATCCCGATATTTGTTTATTTTAGTTATTGAGACTTGTTTAAAGACTCGTAGAGAGTTGTTCCTACATAGATATATGTTTTATGTATACAAGATTCAAGTAAATGATTAACTTAACAGGAACCATTTAGTAGAATGCTCTTTGATTGCTGGTTTGCTCTAACATCGGTTGTGCCTTGGTAGGTGTTATGCTCGTTTGCATCCGAGGGCTGTGAACTGCCGCAAGAAGAAGTGTGGTCACAGCAATCAGGTTTGTGTAACCTATATATTTGAGTTATTGAATGTTATTAGTGTCTACCAAGTATCCTTTTTGTTGCGAATTTGCAATGAAACTGAATTTTATTTTCTCTTGTTGCAGTTGAGGCCCAAGAAGAAGATCAAGTAGACTATGACAGGGGTTATCTCCTCTGCTTTAAAACAATTTGAATACCAGACTTGGAAAATATTTCCATCTACTTCTTTGCTATTATTCTATTTTGTTGAGATTTTATGTATGGATTCTGGATTTGGTAATTGACCGTTTGAGTTAAAATGGATGTTCAGATGCATGTTTTTATTACCTTCATGTCAGGGTAACCAAAACTCGCTAAAAAATAACTTTTTTACCAACCAAAAAATTTGACTCAGACTCAAATTCTCTCAAATTCTCATTTTGTGGCGGCTGCCCAGCTCCTTATTTATGTGGGAGTCATAAATGTTTTAATCCTATTTTATGTGATGTTCATGAATGGTTCAGAATTTTATAAATTTAACTATAATGACAAATTTTCGAATAAAATTTTAGTTATAAAAAATGACTTAAATAATTTGAATAATTCAATAATTTTAGTAAGTAGTGGATTGGTTTTGAAGTTGCAAGTTAGTGGTTTTTAACTTTGTATTTTATAGTGTCTTGTGGTGAAAACTTTATTTTCAAATCAATTGTTTTAGTTTCAATTTTTCGTTGGAAGTAAAATATAATTTTATCCTATTATAATTTAATTTGTCTATATTTGATATTTTATCTTTTAAAACTTATTTTTAATAATAATCTTTAATGTTTAAATTTTAAACTGTAATTTTGTACGTACTTCTAAAAATTTATTTCTATACCATTTTTAAATGTGTTTCAAAAGCTGCATCTATGTATATTATATAAAAAATACAAAAGATATACATGTAAATCAAGTATAATTATAAAAAATATTTAAATTAAAGTTAATTAATATTAATATATTTAAAATTAAATTTAAATAATTTGATTAGACATGAATTTTATGAATTTAGTTTAATTTGAATTTTTATATAAAAATTTGAGTTTTAAAAGAAACTTTTTTGACTCAATTAATTCAATTTTTTTAATTTAATTTAAATCGATGGAATACTTACCTCTACCCTTATGTCTTCTCTTAGAATTGTTCATAGCTTAACTGGTGATGCCAAGTTCTTTCTTTAGAACAAATCTTAATTTATGTTAAGGAATTTGTATTACGTTAAAATCCGAAAACATAACAATGTCCAACATAAACTAGCATTACAACCTTAAGATTATCAACTATATTGCACGATTAGACGTGCAAAACTTATTAATCAGCAGGCATGCTACACATGAGAACCGCACATATATAATCAAAGTCCCCTGAAACTTTAGTTCATCATTAGAGGCTTCTTCATGCTCCATGCATTAAGATTCTCAACAATGATGGTCTGACTCCCATTGTTGAATGCATGCAAATGAGCATTCTCAAGCACTGCTAATGTAGGATAAACCCTAGATGTTATGCATGTTTTTCCTCCGCCTCCGAAGCTTTCCACTACAGAATGATCAATCTGCAACAAAAAACAAAGAGTAAATTAAGGTTTATAAAGTTGAAAATGAATTGATTCATTAAGCTTCATACCAAACTCCTCAAAGAAAGCTTCTTATCTGCCAAATCTGCATCCACAAAGCCGGCAAATGATGGTTTATAAAGACCATCCTCCAACGACGAACTGCGAAACGATTAATTAAAGTTGATTTTGAAATTCAATTGACATGAACAAAACGACATGCTTACCTTCTTGCATCAGAACACAATAAAACTATATGTTTGGTTGAAGTCTTGAATATTCTGAAGAAGACTGGAGTATATTCTTCAAGGTTTTTTGAAGCTAAAGCCAAAAGCCCGAATGGACCAACTCCACCTTGAACCTTTGCACCCTTTTTAGCACACAGAAGTTGGGCATCTGTCAAACTCCAACTAGGGTTAAATGCCTCAACTTTATCCAAACTAGGAATAAAGAAGGTAACATCAACATCAACCTGTGAAAAGTTGGAGTAGATCAGTTCATATACAAAGTTGACAACTTGAAATAATTATATCTTCAATGCAAATAAATAATAAACCTGAGCAGCAGTAATTCCCTTGACTTCAATATGTTGGCCTGTCTTAAGCTTTCGATGGCTGATTTTAACGTTTTCCCCTCTGAGACTCTCCAACTCTTGAATAGGCCATTGCATCAATTGCCTTTGATTGGGATCAAGCCACACTGTTCTTGGAATTGCCTAGGAAAAACATATTGTAAGCCATTTAGCATAGCTGAGTATACTAGGTACATATGCATATACATCACATATATACAGATTGAATGAGTACCTGAATTCCAGCCCATCCTTTTTTAACATCATCAGAAGTGGAATCAGATTCATTAACCCAACCCCACAAAACCCTCCTCTTTTTAGCAGGATCAAAGAAGGTCTTTGAAGCATAAAAGTTCCCAAAATCATATCTAAGGCCAGCCCAGCCATCGGCCGATGTATTATCCGGCACGTATCGATCCTTATCGGTTAAATACGTGCCGACCGTATAGTAATCGTATCTGGTAACATCCAAACTCACTTTCAGAACATGTTTGACATGTTTTCCCACCACAGACGTGTCAAGACCTTGTTTACCGGATAACAAGACCGGGTAAAAATCAGGGCATTCCCACATGCCTGTATGGGGTGCTGAATGTAAAGGGTGTTTAGCTTTAACCCAATGGAAGAAATCCCTGCTTCTGTACAGATAGGCTATCCCTCTGTGGTTCCTTTTGCTGCCGACCACCATTCTCCAATGGCCGTTCAGCCGCCAAGCGGTGGATGGGTCACGAAACGCACTGGCGTCTACGCCTTGGTCGGGGTCGACCACCGGGTTGAGACGAGCTGGCTTGATCCATCTACGTAGATAAGGATCAGATAAGTTAGCCGGGACTGCGTAGTTTTGGACCTGCCTGTTATTGGGATCGACACCGGTGTATAGAATGATGGGTTTATTGTTAGGGAGAATGGTGGCTGAACCGGACCAGGCGCCATTTTTGTCGAAGCGTTGTGAAGGGTAGATTGGAGGTTCGAGTGCTTCCCAGTTGACCATGTCTTTTGAAACTGAATGGCCCCAAATAATGTTGCCCCAAACTGCGCCTTTGGGGTTGTATTGGTAGAAAAAATGGTATATTCCATTGAAGTACATTGGAGCTGCATGAGGAGGATTGCATGAGGAAGAAAGGAAACACTAATTAAGGAAGGATTTCAAATTTATGGGATTATGTGAGTGAAACTCACCGTTTGGATCTGTTTGATGATTCAAGGACGACCCAAGGGGAAAACAAATACAAAGCAAAACAAGAGTTAATTAGTCATTAAACAATCATTTACAAAATCACAGCTCAATATTTATAGTTTGACACTATCAAATAAATCAGATTATAAAAAATTAAGATTTAAACTTCAATTTTTTAAAAAGGTATTGCCACCCCTTGTGTACATGTATTACAATTATGTAGTTTTACTTTCATTATAACAAAGTTATTGCCCAAACAGGTAAAGTCTACCAAGGAATAAGAACATCAAATTAAGTAAAAAAAATTCTAATGGGGCTTGATCTTAAATTTAACATAGAATTATGATGTTTGCTTCTCAAACATTCCTTTGATATCTAATAATAATTCCAATGGGGCTTGATCAATTTATTATTTATTTTATCAATTTAATTCCTTTTTTTTCCAAATATAATTTAAATATAATAAAAAATATATTTCTTAAAAGTAAAACCATAGATGTCATACTTTAAAATAATAATTAGTATACAAATTCTATTGAGTTATTTATTAGTATATTGGTTATGATTGTAGCTATAATAATAATAATAATAATAATAATAATAATATAACTTTATGGAAATTTGGACTGAAAATATTAAAGGTACTAAGATTTAAAAAAAACTATAAAAAGAATAATTTAATAAAAATATTTTTATAATATTATATTTCCTTAATTAAATACTATAATTTTATATTTTCATTATTGAAAGCTCAGCTCAGAAAATATAATGATATACAGCACTCATGAAAGTGAATTTATGTAAGATCGAATATTCTTAGGTGTTCCACTAATAAAAGTTATTTCCATCAACCGCAAAAACCAGTTAGCTTGGGAAATTGCAAAGGTGAGATGCAATTCTAGGCCATATATGTCACATTTACTGTTTGGAAACCGAGAAAGTTCATGCAATCATTCTCATGTTGAGAATCTCAAGTCTGATGTGATTCTGAACTAAAAAGTCATCAACATGAAAAAAATACACTTGTGCATTATTTCCAAAACTGAGAGTGTTGCATAAGTTTTTATTCTCAAAAAATTATTTTTATTAGTTTACAGATACAAGAAAAAGTACACATAGATTCACCTCAAATGACAGAAGAGAATTGCAGAAGCAGAACTTAAGAAAACAATAGAAGGCTAAAGGGGGTATGCATGTCTTAAATCAAATGTCGTTTTCACTGCGTCGTATTTCACTTAGGAGCGAGAGAACAAATGTCCAGATACCATCATTGCAAATAAATACCTGATCAAACTCGCTACACCTAATATTTTGCTAATTCAACTTATCTGCCTAATATTTTAAGCATTAGTAACACTTAAAACTTGTCTTTTAATTTTTGGTTCACAAAAAATCAGCACTGCATGCAGCAACAGATAAACTTTTAAACAGAGTGGAAAACTGTACATGTATATAAATGGATTAAACTTTAGTTCTCACGCGTGATGCCACCCCACTAAAACTCAAAAGGAAGTAGACAGTTTGGTTCAGTTTACACGATCTTCACGGCACTAAAACGCTTTATAATATCACTTGCAGAAGCCAGATTCTTCCTCTTTCGTATTCTTAATAGATTTTTTTAAAGGAATCTGAATACCATAGAAAGACTGCGAAGAATCAACCTGCAAAACTGATCTTGCGAGAAAGCAAAACCATGCATGCATGACAGTCAAACACCGTGCTTTAGTATGGATATGTCTAGAGTTTTTTTAGCTGAAAATCCAACAAAAACTAAAAGGAAATGGAGTTGGACACAGCATATTAACCTAGGAAAAACCAACACGTTTAGGACAAAAATTAAGCCCTTGAACTATTTTCAGCAAGTCAATGCATGAAGAAGAGGCAATAACTATATATATATATATATATATATATATATATATACTAAAAAGGGAAAAAAGATTGCAGATAAGGGGAGGAAACGTACCGTTGATCCAATTTTTAGGAGGCTGAAAGTGAAAGCCAGTTCTGTGAAGTTGCAGGACAGTAACTGCAGCTAGAGACTGGAATTGTGGATAAACACTGTGAGATGCTTCCACTCGGCCATTGTTGACGACACCGAGGAAAGTGATGAATAGAGAAAGAGAGAGCAACTTTGAAACTGCCATTGAAACCTAAAGCACAAAAGAAACTAGACTTGTAGGAGGGATGAAGTTGGGTTGGGTATTTATAGATACATAATAAGGAACTTATGAATTTATTTGAATATGTTATACACTATAATGCAGTAATTGGGAGTAAAAACAATCGGTGAGCATAATTAGTTATTATAAGAGTGAGATACTATAATGAAATACTCCTGTTTGGATTCAATTCTAATTATATTAGTGATAATAACAAATAATTTTTTTAATAATTTAAGGTTGTTATAAGATATAATTTATACAAAATATTTCTTAATTATTGATAACACACATTCTACCGGCACAATTACTTGAAATTCAAGACTTATATAAAAAATAACGCTCTTTTTAATTACTAAAACTAATTTATGCGTTTAATAAAGATAATTATATTGCTTAATATAACTTTTAAATTATTTCATTTTTTATAAAAATATTATTAATATGTTAAATCATAAATTTATTTGCAGACTATTAAAATAATACTTTTATATGTGGATTATGATGTTTTTCTATTATCTTTTATTATTGAGGTAAATATTTATTGTTTCTTTTAATAATTAACACAAATATATTAATAAATATTTTCAATAATATTTAACACATGAAATCTTAGTAACTTCATTTTTAAATATATTTATTTAACACATGAAATCTTAATAACTTCATTTATAATATATTTATATAAATGTTTAACTAATTGTGTTTGTGTAGAAATGATGAAAAATGGACTCATACAAAAAAATAGCATACATTGAGAAAAATAATTCAAACAAAATAGATTAAATTATAGTTGTGTTGTGGAAAAAAATATTGTCTTAAAAGCAAATTTGTTTTGGTTGGTGTAATTGTTGAAATAGACAATACCCCTAAGGTTAACACAACTCTATAATATTTGTACACTAGACTATCGAAGTGGAAATCGATCAATACTACTATTCTTGAAAAGTTAGAATAAAGACTGAAAACATTTCTCCCGATTATAGTCTCCAACGATCGGAAAATCATAGACCAAAATAAAAAGAATAAATAAAGGAAAATTTATCTTCTTGTTATTGTTTTTGAAATATAAATCTGACCTTTACATGCAAGCTCAAAGTTGAGATAAAATGATAAATGTAACATCCTAAATTTTGAGTTAATAGTTTCCGCGTTGACCCTAATCAACTATGAGTGGACTTTGTAGGTTTTTATAAAGAGTTGGGCTGAATTTAGCTTGAATTGAGCCTAATTGATTATAAAAAGGGGTTTTTTGAATTGAGTTTGAAGGTGAAATGAGTAAAGAAATAATTAACCCTTTTGTTCTTGCAAGGTTGAATCTGATTTAATTTTATGTGATGTCACCAGGGGAAATAAGAGGGGAAGTTGATTTCCTTCTTCCATATTTCCCCTGCTTTATCTCATTCCCCATCGCTTTCCTCTAATCTTCTTTTTCTTCAAGTTTTTCAAAGGTAAGAATTTTATTGTCCAACACTCATAGTCTAAATTTGTGAAGGTAAGACTTATTATCTCCACTCATAGAGCTTCCATTCAAGCCTGCCATCTCAAGGTTTAGCCATGGTAAGGGTTTAGAGGGGTTTTAGATTTTAGGAATCTAGAGTGATTTCAATCTGTTTATAGAGTTAGAAAACCATGCTTTTACTTATTATAAGTTCTTAGAAAAGTTAGTAACTTATTCCTTGCTTTGTGATTAGTTAAAGAAGTGAGAAAAGGATCCAAAAGAAAAGGCAAGAAGAAGCTTGCTCTTGGATAAGCTTCAGGTGATTTACAGTAGTTCATGAGTAAAGTAACACACTTTTAACTCTTTCATACCACTTGTGGGTCGTTCTATGTGTTTTCTATGCTTGTATTAGTTCATAGAGCATGCAAATACATTTTTGGCTAGACTCGACTTTTAATGTATTTGATGTTATTAATGCATAGATATGACAATTATGATCCTATATGACTCTATAAGCTTTATATAATATTTGAGGGATTTAGAGTGGCTCAAGAGTTGAGTTGAGGTGACTTTTTTTCATAAGAAACAAAGTATTTTTAGATTCGAGAATCTATACTAGATAAAAAATAATGATATTGTTCTTTAAATAGCAAAAATATGGGGTTTTTGGCTGGGTAGTGCCGATACACTTTTCATAGGGTATCGATATTGTTCTTTGGGTACCATAGTTGTAGACACTATTTTGTCTAGGTTGTTTTATTTATTTACATTAATCATTTAATAATATTACTGGGTTTATTAAATTCCATATGTTTTAATTGATGAAATTGGTAATTGTTAATGCGATTATGTTTTAGGTTAATATATTGAGCCCATGTTAGATAATTAAATATATATACTGATTTCTTTATTTTATTTTCTTTTAGATTACAATGGATGACCCAAATAATTACAAGACTCTAATGGGCTAACAACCCAAAAAAGACTAGGCCAACAACCCAAAGAGCAGGCCCAAATGAAGTGACCCAATAATAATTAAGGTTTTTATCCTATCACCCCAGTCGCCATATGCTTCCAGTCCTCGGATCTGTGCTTGATCCAACGACCCAGATGAAAAGGATTTCTAGGGTTTATCCTAGCCTTAGGCCTAATGAGCCGCCACCACCATTGCTAACTACTAATGCATCGCCAACTGTCGTCACCTACTCCTGCCACCTTGGCTCCTGCCATCGCCATCATTTCAACTAGCCCTCAACACATCAATCAGTCAAAAGAGACCAAAAAATTAGTAAAATATTTTATATGTATATTTTAGTGTTGCGTGTGTGAGTGTACTAAAATTGAACGCAAATTGTGCAAGTATAAACGTCGAACAAGTAATAAAGTGATTAATGAGTATCGTTTCCATAGGAATTGGAGGGAAATTTAAATAAACTAATCAATATAAAATGGTATGAGTAATTGTTGGAAATGATGTGATAAAATTGACATGGTGAAATACTATTGTAAAAAGCAAATAAGGAATGCTCTAGCAAAATTGTGTTGTGAGAAATGGTGCACGGGATAAGACAAAGAATTGGCTTCATACGTGTCGAACTCTCAATAAGGTTAAATGACTAGGTTTATATTAAAATCCTACGTCTTGCCCTAAATGGCTGTTAATTATTTCATGTTAATACACTGCTCATCAAAGTTTCCTAAGTTGCTTTTAAACTATCTCTAGTAAGAAACCTGACAGTGAAGATGCTAAGGCAATACTTCTCAGCGTGAACCCTAACAACTACTATCGAATGAGCTCTACTCTTGTTAGTCTTTGAAACCCTATCTTTATCTCTATGGTAATTAGAGTTTTGCCACCTATCTCCACTCCATTGTTCACGTAGATCTAAGCTAAACTCTTTCGAAATCAAGCATCAAACATAGATAAAGGCTAACTTTGGAAAGCATGTGAGAAAATAGTGAACAAAGCATGTATATAATTGGAAATGCTATAACATTCATTAAGGCAAAAATATAGTCATCCAAAATAAGCCCAAGAAAACTTAAGTTAGTTCATGGTTGGGTGAAAAACTCCAATATCATTTGTTTAATACAGCCCATTCGAAATAAAGATGGAAGAAGTAACAAGCAGCAAAGGCGAAAGAAGACTCCCAAGGAAAAAAACTATCGTGGATTGTCGTGAACCACTTCAAGCGGTTTTTCTTGTCTAAAAGGCCAACAAGCTTTATCCCCTTGAAGTTCCAACAATAGAGGCCACCACGATGAAGAAGAGAAAAAGGAAGAATGACTGCTTCTAGTTTTTCTCTTTCTTATCTTACACTTTCCATCCTCTCATAAATGTGGTGTCCTTTTTGTTTATATAGTGGGGTCTTTTAGGGTTTTATACCCTAATTCTTGAGGGAATATACCCTTCACGTGTAGGGAACATCTAGCAAGGTGTCACATGTAGGTTGCTGCCAATAAATATCTTCCTTGTTTGTCTTCTAATGCAGCCAGAAATATTGCTCTTTTTGCTGCAACATAATCACCCTCTCTAGCCAGTTCACCTTAAGTTACCTTCATATCACCACATCGAAACAAACCCTTCTCAAGTAGCACAAATTTCACCAGTGCATGAATAAGACAATAAAATCCACCATATGCAAATGAATAAGCTATATGCAACTAAATGTAACTAAATAGGCTTAAGAACATTCAATAACTTCAGTAAAAAGACATGAAATATACCTTTTTTACAAGGTTAACATACCCTCAAACTCAAGCTATTGGTTATCCTCAAGCAATGAGTGTTGGTCAACAGAAGTTATACAACAACAAAGTTTATTCTAATACATCTGGGAGGTTTTCAATTTCAACCCTCAGAACATCGGCTTTAACATACTAGATAGTTTGAGAGATCAATGACTTTCCTTTAAGACAAGGTCTTTTGCATGTTTGTGAGTAATTGTACCCCTTCTATGCATAGTAAAGTTAGAAAAATTCTAGGCAGTACTTATTCTTCCTTAGTCTTTGTTCAATCTTTAAGCACAAATTTACTCCTATTTCTTAAATTTTTTAGACTCGTACGAGGGGAGTCAATCTATCAAGACTACCATCCCTCACTCTAGATGAATTAGAGCAAACATTCCATCCCCGAGCTAGTAGGTAGAATCATCCCGTGACTACTTTCATTCACTCATATGCTATGTTACCATTTATTTAAGAAGGGGTTCCAGGCAATGCTATAGCAAAGAGGAGTGCCCCTATACATTTATGTCGAAGCATTTATTCACATTCATCATCACAAGAGAGTTTAATTCAAACCTTTCAAGTTATCATTTTTCCATGAAGTTCACTAGTACCAATTATACTAAATCATTCAAGAGTTCTTTCACAAAACATTATTAACATTTTTAAGCACATAAGACATATAATTGTGCAAGTAACTGTGTCCTAAAGTTAGCTTTATCAACCTCAACAATCATTTATTCAATAAATCACAGCCTACATATTCTCATCATCGAACATCATCAATTTATTCCATAAACTGTTCTATAGCAAAACTTTGTTGAACAAAACACAAATGTAAATGCTT